AGTAGCTAGGATTACAGGCGTGAGCCACCCGCGCCCGGCTAAAATATATTTTTTAAAAGCCAGACATTGGGTTGAGATGTAGCTTAGTAGCAAAGCACTTGCTTAGCAAGGGCAATGTCCTGGGTTCAATTTCCATTGCCAAAAAAACCTAAAAAGTCTATTTTGTAGGGGAATTAGTGGCTCATGCCTGTAATCCTAGCTACTCAGGAGGCTGAGCTGATGATCAAGTTCACAGCCAGCCTAGAAAGGAAAGTCCTTGAGATTCTTACCTCCAGTTAACCATCAGAAAACCAGAAGTTGCGCTGTGGCTCAAAGTGGTAGAATACTAGCATTAAGCAAAAGAGCTCAGGGACACTGCCTAGGCCCTGAGTTGAAGAGCCAAAACTGACAATAAAATAAATAAAAAGCCAGGCATAAGACCACATCAGGAGGGCTGGAGGTATGGTTCAAGTGGTAGCATCTGCCTAGCAAGTGCAAAGCCCAGTTCTGAAGAAAAAAACCGCAACACCAAGGGAACAAAGATCCGATTTTGTAGCTTCATACACCCCAGCCCTTTAGGTATCGGTTTCTAAGAGCTCTGAGTGTAGTTCAGTGATAGAGCCTGTGTTTAGCATATTTTAGCATAAACAGTGCCTTGGGTTCAATCCTCAGTAACCAAAATAAAACAAAATTTAAACCACAAAAGTTTTTCAAAGAGTTCTTACTCACATTCCCTGTGTGAAACAGGAATGTTTCCTCCTTTTGTTCTTTTCATTTCTCCCTACTTTTTTCTGATATACTAAAATAAATCCTTAATTGGCATCAGTGCCTCATGCCTGTAATCCTAGCTAGTCAGGAGGCTGAGATCTGAGGTTTGTGGTGCAAAGCCAGCCAAGGCTGGAAAGTCCATGAGACTCTTACCTCCAATTAGCCACCAGAAACTGGAATTGGAGCTGTGGCTCAAAGTGATAGAGTTCTAGCGTTTGAGGAAAAAGGACAGTGCTCAGGCCCTGGGTTCAAGCCCCATGACTGACAAAACTTTTCTTAAAGGACTTGAATATGTCAAAAAAGTAAATGTGGATGAGTAATTTTTGGTTAAATTTGTCATGCAGTTTAAAAATATGCATATGAATATCACTAAAGGATCAACTACCTGTAACATTTTTTCTATATGTGTGCTATATCCCAGTTAGACACTGACATGTGAAATGTAGTAAACCAGTTACAGTTTTCAGTAAACACTACAATGAACATAGAATAGAAAAATGAAAGTTAGGGCTGGGAAGGTGGCTCAGTGGTAGAGCGCTTGCCTTGCATGCCTGAGACCCTGGGTTCCATTCCTCAGCACCACATAAGCAAAAAAAAAAAAGCTGGAAGTGGCGCTGTGGCTCAAGTGGTAGAGGGCTAGCCTTGAGCTGAAGAGCTGAGGGATAGCGCCCAAGCCCAGAGTTCAGGCCCCCTCACCGGACCCAAAAAAAACAACAACAACAAAAAAAAGAAAAATGAAAGTTAAACTATTATACGCTGGGCACTGATGCCTCATACCTATAACCCCAGTTACTCAGGAGACAGATCTGAAGATCAAAGCCAGCCCAGGCAGTAAAGTCCACGAGCCTTATACCCTCAATTAACCATCAAAAAGCTGGAAGTAGGGCTGTGGCTCAAGTGGTAGAGTGCTGGCCTTGATCAGTAAAAATTCAGAGACAGAGCCCAGGTCCTGAGTTCAAACCCCAAGACTGGCACACAGGAAAAATTATAAGCATTTAAGATTTAAAAATTTCAGGCACCTGTAGTTAGCATGAAAAGCCAGTATTCTAGCAAGCCTTTCCTTCAGGAGCTGAACCTGAAAAGCCATCTTCCACAGGAGTGGAGAACTGAGGCGGGAGGGAAATGTGACCTCATTGTGACTCTTTAAGTTCTTGCTATTGATAATTTTAGCCTTAATCTTCTTTTTTTTTTTTTGGTCCGGTCATGGGGCCTGAACTCTGGGCCTGGGCGCTGTCCCTCAGCTCTTCGGCTCAAGGCTAGCGCTCTACCTCTTGAGCCACAGCGCCACTTCCGGCTTTTTCTGCTTATGTGGTACTGAGAAATCGAACCCAGGGCCTCAGGGATGCAAGGCAAGCGCTCTACCACTGAGCCACCTTCCCAGCCCTAATTTTAGCCTTTATCTTCTGAGCCCCAAGTTCCTGGAGTATCTGATGCTCTCCTTCCTTTTCTTGAGGAAATGAGGCTCACTGAAAAACGTATCCCAAATTAAACTGGCCTTTGCAGTGGTCTTTGCCCCAGAGCTTAACTGACCACCTGGTTCCTTACACCATTATTTTTACCACTGTTCACCCAGACCCTCATTCATTCTCTGTGATCAGACGCCTGTGGTTCCTCCCTCAGGTCACTACTATGTGCCACTTCTAAGAGCAGAAGACACTTCCTCACCTGTCATTGGGGAGCTATGGTCCTCAGACCAGACAGCTGAAGCCTCACAGGCCAGCTACTGTAGAGCTGGCCCCAAGGACTCTATGCTGACTTTGAGGGCATTTGTTGGACCCCTGAGTCCATCCAAGGTAAGCTGTTGGGTAAGGAGTCTTCTGGAATCTCAGTGCTGGGGGCTGTATCCTGTTATTTTGAGCTTGGTATTATAAACTAGCTTTTTTTTTTTTTGCTATTGACTCTGGGTCTTGAACTCAGGGCTTGGGCACTGTCACTGAGCCTCTTTGCTCAAGGCTGTAGCTCCAGTTCTAGTTCTGGCTTTTTGTTAATTAATTGGAGATAAAGAGTCTTATGGGTGGATCTGTGGCTCCAGTGGTAGAGCACTAGCCTTGAGCACAAAAAGCTCAGGAACAGCACTTAGACCCTGAGTTCAAGCTCTAGGACTGACACAAACAAAAAAAAAGAGTCTCATGGACTTCCATTTTCTGGGCTGACTTTGATTCACAGTCCTCAGATCTCAGCCTCCTAAGTAGTTAGGATTACAGGGGAAAGCTACTGGCTCCCAGGATAAACCAACTTTTATGGAGCACAAAGGTCATTCTTGTCTGAAACCACCTGCTATGAGGTAGTAATAAAGATTTGGAATGTTTGCTACGTCACTAACTCATTAGCCTGAGTGCATGTAGTGGGAGTCCACACATCTTAACAGACTGGCGTTTATCTGGGCCAGCCCTCCAGTTTGTCGTCTCATTCTTCCTGTCCCTCCTTTCCCCCTGCCAGTCTAACATGTGATTGAGATAACTCTTGTTTGTAAGCTTACCTTCCAAATGGAATTTTCCCACACTTGCAATTCCCATTACTTCCTCTCAAATTTGTCAGAGCTCTTGGCATCATCTCTTTTTCCTACAACCTGTTTATATCCAGGCTGCAGCCATTTACATCAAGAGTTTAGTAACTTTGTAATGATGAGGTTACTGGGCCAGACATTGTGCATGTTTTATGTCAGATTTACAATTGACAGTTCTTTCTCAATGGCATTTATAAAATCTTGATTTAAAAAGAAAAAAAAAAAAAAGGATGCTAGCTCATGCTGTAATCTCAGCTAGTTTGGAGGCAGAGACCTCTATGGTCATGGTTGGAAGCCAGCTAGCTACAGCAAATAGTGAGACCATCTTGACTAAAAAGAAGGGCATAGTACACCCCTGTACTCCCAGCTATGCTAGGCATATGTAGGGTGATCACATTTCAGGCTGGCCTAGGCAAAAAAACATGACAACATGTGTGAAAAATAGAAGAAAAGTCCTGGAGGTGTGTGGCTTAAGTCATGGAAGATGAAGCCTTGAGTTAAAATCCCAGCACTGCTTTCAAGACCAGATTCAAACAACCTGACAGTGCAAGTGGCTCATACCTATAATACTAGCTACTCAGGAAGCTGAGATCTGAGGATCACAGTTCAAAGCCAATTCAGGAAGGAAAGTCCAAGACTCTCTGATTACCAAAAAGCTGGAAGTATAGCTTTGACTCAAATGGTAGAGTTTTCCAGGCATGGTGGGGCACATCTGTCATCGGGAGCCTGGGATAGGGAGATCATTATGATACTCATTCCTAAGCTTTCGCACCTGTAATTCCAGCCATTTGGGAAGCTGAGACCAGCAAGATCATTGTTTGAGAACAGGCTAGGCAGAAACGTTTAGGAGAGCCCTCTGAACTGGAGCTGAGCTAACACTGCACAGCTGTCATCCCAGCCTGGACAAGCCTAAAGTAGAGGGAACATGCACCAGCGTGGGGATTGAGACCCTGTCTCAAAAATGACCAATGCAAAAATGTGCTGAGGGCTTGGCTTAGCAGCAGAATACTTGCCCACCAAATAAAAAAGCAAAACACACAAAAATTAAAAATAACTGGCTTTCTAAATAGTTACTTACAACTATAAAAATGTCTCCAGTGCCAAGCACTGGTGGCTCACGCCTATGATCCTAGCTACTCAAGAGGTTGAGATCTGAGATTGCAGTTTGAAGCTAGCCCAGGCAGAAAAGTCCATGAGAGGGGCTGGGAAGGTGGCTCAGTGGTAGAGCACTTGCCTTGCATGCATGAGACCCTGGGTTCGATTCCTCAACACCACATAAGCAAAAAGAAAAAAGCTGGAAGTAGTGCTGTGGCTCAAGTGGTAGAGCACTAGCCTTGAGCTGAAGAGCCTGAGGGACAGCGCCCAGGCCCAGAGTTCAGGCCCCACGACCAGGCCCAAAAAAATAAAAAACAAAGAAAAGTCTATGAGACACTTTATCTCCAAAAAACTACTCAGAAAAAGCTGGGGAACTGTGGCTTAAGTGATAGAACACTAACCTTGAATAAAAGAAGCTCAAGGACAGAGCTCAGGGCTCTGAGTTCAAGCCCAGGACTGGCAAAAAAAAAAAGATCTCCAAATTATATGTTTAAGATTAGATGAGCCGGGCGCTGGTGGCTCATGCCTGTAATCCTAGCTACTCAGGAGGCTGAGATCTGAGGATCCAGGTTCAAAGCCAGCCCGGGCAGGAGAGACCGTGAGACTCCTATCTCCAATAAAACCACCAGAAAACCGGAAGTGGGTAGCTCAAGTGGTAGAGTGGTCGCCTTGAGCTGAAGAGCTGAGGGACAGCGCCCAGGCCCAGAGTTCAAGCCCCACGACCGACAAAAAAATAAAAAAAATTAAAAAAAGATTAGATGAGCAGGGCGCTGGTGGCCTGTAATCCTAGCTACTCAGGAGGCTGAGATCTGAAGATCATGGTTCAAAGCCAGCCCAAGCAGGAAAATCTATGAGACTCTTCAATAAACCACTAGAGAACTGGAAGTGGCACTGTGGCTAAAGAGTGCAGGGACAACGCTCAAGCCCAGAGTTCAAGTCCCATGAGACCAACACCCCCCTCCCCCCCCCAAAAAAAAAGATGAAAGCTGGGGTTGGTGGCTCACACCTGTAATCCTAGCTACTCAGGAGGCTGAGATCTGAGGATCATGGTTCAAAACAAGCCCCAGCAGGAAAGCTCATGAGACTCCTATCTCCAATAAACCATCAGAAAACCGGAAGTGGCCCAGAGTTCAAGCCTCATGACCAACCAAAAACAAAAAGATGAGCCAGGCGCCACCAGTGGCTTACTCCTAAAATTCTAGCAACTCTGGAGGCTGAGAACCTCAGATCACAGTTGGAAGCCAGCCAGGTAGAAACTTCCTTGGGACACTTCAATAAACTACTCAGAAAAGGCCAGAAGCAGTGCTGTGGCTCAAGTGGTATAATGCTAGCGGTGAGCACAGAGAGCTTTAGAGACAACGCTGAGGATACCTAAGTTCAAATTCCAGGGCTGGCAAAAAAAAAATAGATAAGGCCGGATACCTGTGGCTCGTGCCTGTAATGCTATCTACTCAGAAGGCTGAGATCTTTGGATCACAGTTGGAAGCTCCCCCAGGCAGGAAAATCTATGAGACTCTTATCTCCAGTTAATCACACACACACAAAGAAAGCCAGAAATAGAGCTGTGGCTCAAGTGGTAGAGCACTAACCTTGAGCATCATCTGTTTTCTGTGTTATGGGAAGCAGTGCATCTGTGCCTTTGGGAGCAAGTGGCTCGGTGATGTCCTGCTGTCAAGTAAAGATTCATTCTGTCTTTCCTAGGCCAGATTTGATGTTCACAATCTAGACTAGTGAAGCGAAGAACCCCTTCCCCACTTCAAGCACAGTGCTGAGTTTGGTCATGCTGCCTCTCTTGGCTACAGAGCTTTGTGGTCTGTTAAAGTTGCAGGGAAACAGCCTTTGAGTCGGTGGTACTGATAGTTCTGAGACCCGGGTGATCTGCAACAAGGTACAACATAACCTGAAATTTTTCCTTTTTCTCCCAGGCTGAAGATTTTCGCAAACTCTGGAAAACTCCTCCTCGAGAGAAAGCAGGCTTCTTCCACAGTGTCAGGAAGTCTGATGCAGAACGGGGCACTGAGAGAGTAGGGAGGTACTTACATGACGTGCTAAGAGCACATGGGCTTCAGTGCTGTGTGGTGTGCAGTGTGGATGTGTGTGGATGGATGATGAATTGACTAGCTACTTAAAGATACTGGTTCCCAGAATGTTTACTGGGACATTTCAGGCCCCCCCCTTTTTTTTTTCAAAATATGTGCCTAATTTGAGGTTTACAGTTTGACTTTGCCATAGACCCCTAGATTTTTATATTCCTGTCCAAAATGTACTGATAGGATTTCACTATTGAGTAATGCGAGTGTATACTGGCTGAGGGCTCCCTTCTTGAGCAAATGTGGCTTGTTTCATCATAGAAAAGCTCTTCAGGGAACACCGCAGTCTTACTTGCTAGGGGATAGCTGGAAAACACATGTTTAATTTTAACTTGAAATTTAGGATAAAATAAAATTACACTCAATATTGCAGATATCAGTTTTGACACTCTGAACATTAAGTGGCTGTTTTCTTTGGGTAATTTTTCTGTTTTCTCACCTGGTAATTGTTTTTTGTTTCTTACAGGGAGCTAGCTCATGAGCTGGGGTATCCCTGGGTTGAATACTGGGAATTTCTGGGCTGTTTTGTTGATCTGTCTTCCCAGGAGGGCCTGCAAAGACTAGAAGAATATCTTGCCCGTCAGGAAATGAGCAGAAAGGCTCAGCAAGAAACAAGAGAAAATGAAGCCTGCCATCAAGACAAAGCTTTCACTTCTGGTGAGCAAACATGAGCTGAGTTGGCTATGTCTTTCTTTTCTTTGCCTCACGTGATTTTATTGTAAAAATGGGTAACTTTCCCAAGGTATGTGTCCACTCATCTCATGTGTGTACTTGTAGATATAAAAAATACAGTGGCATGGCCATGGGTATTGCTGCTTCTGGCCTTAGGTCCTGGTCTAGAATTGAATATTTCATTTGGTGATGTTTTTCCAAAACAGCAATATTTTAGGTCTAGTATTTATATCTTTTTCTAAGTGTACGGTTCATTGGATCATTGAATATCAGAAAAAGGAACATAGGCTCCAGAATGCTTGCGTCTATTTTATCAGCCTTTAGGGCACAGACCATCTTGAGCACAAAAGCAATGATGGAATGATCAGGAAAGGTTAATCTGATTTTAAACACTTAAAAGTAACTAATAGCACCTTAGCAACATTAAAAAAGGAAACATTGGTCTGGGGTGTAACTCACTGACAGATTACATACCTCAGCCTGAGCAAAGACCTGGGCTTGGTAACTTGGCATTGAGGAAAGAAAAAAGGAAATATTGGGGCTGGGAAGGTAGCTCAGTGGTAGAGTGCTTGCCTTTCATGCATGAGGTCTTTGGTTCAATTCCTCAGCACCACATGAGCAGAAAAAGCCGGAAGTGGGGCTGAGGCTCAAGTGGTAGAGCACTAGTCTACAGCTGAAGAGCTGAGGGACAGTGCCCATGCCAAGAGTTCAGGCCCCACAATGGACTAAAAAGAAAAAGAAAAAAGGAAATACTAAAGTTCTTAAATATTACAAGAGAAAAGGCAAAAATCATCCCCCCCCTCCCCCCCCCCCCCCACAAAGGCATCTCACCAGTAATAAGATATACGTGTCTAGGGGCTGGGAAGGTGGCTCAATGGTAGAGTACTTGCCTTGCATGCATGAGGCCCTGGGTTCTATTCCTCAGCACCACATAAGCAAAAAGAAAAAAAAGCCGGGAAGTGGCGCTGTGGCTCAAGTGGTAGAGCACTCACCTTGAGCTGAAGAGCTGAGGGACAACGCCCAGGCCCAGAGTTCAGGCCCCACGAACAGACCAAAAAAAAAAAAAGATATACGTGTCTACAATGTAGTAAACTTCTACCACAATGAGGGTAGGAGTGGTACTCTGCCATCAAGATGTTCTAATGGTGGTATCCAGGCTCTGGGCAGTCTGCCTGGTCCAGAGTCTCTTGTGAGGAAAGAATTAGAGATACCCAAGCACTGCCAAACATTAGAAAACTAATAGTTTATCCTCTGATAGTTGAGGATTGGCTGAATAAATGGTTCTGTCCTCATGCAGAATGAAAATTCATGCTTTCCCTGGGCACCGGTAGCTCATGGTGAACCTTAGCCACTCAAGAGGCTGATATCTGAGGATCATTCAAAGCTAGCCCGGGCAAGAATGTCTGTGACACTCTTATCTCCAGTTATTGACCAGAAAACCAGAATTGGAACTGTGGCTCCAAGTGGTAGAGCACTATCCTTGAGCAGAGAGCTTGGGCCCTGAGTTCAAACTGACCAAAAAAATAAAAATAAAAATCATGCTTTCAGAGTGTAGGGTATGACATAAAAAAGGGCTTACAATTGTAATGAATGCTGTGCAGTAATGCATATAATTAGTGGGAAGAAAAACATACATGTAGATATTAGTATAATATTAATTTTTGAACAGTGGTATAATTACAGCATACCATATTGGGACTATGCCTCAATTAAAATCTAGTGAATTGATAATAGATTGGAAAGAGTTGGGAGATAAGAAAGAGGAACCCATGGGCTGGGAAAGTGGCTCAATGGTAGAGCGCTTGCTGGGTTTGAGTCCTCAGCACCACATAAGCAAAAAGAAAAAAGCCGGAAGTGGTGCTGTGGCTCAGGTGGTAGCGCTAGCCTTGAGCTGAAGAGCTGAGGGACAGCGCCCAGGCCCAGAGTCAAGGCCTCACGACTGGACCCAAAAACAAACAAACAAAAAAAACAAAAAGCTTTGGTCAGTGTCAGAAATAAAATGGAAGAAGTAAGCTCTGTTAAAATTAGGTCAGGTATAGTAGTTCACATGTCATCCAAGCTACTCCAGAGGTGGAGATTGGGAGGGTCCCAGTTGGAGGCCAGCCCAGCAAGAAATTGGTGAGACTAAGTGTGTTGGCATGCATCTGTGGTCCAAAACTAAGTTCCCTGGAACAACAAAATGAAAGCAGGCCACATGCACATTAATTTGGAAAGACAGATTGTGAAAGTTGTCCCTGACTCTGTACAGTCAGAACAGGCCCCAGGTGACATCCTGCTGCAGCTGATGTGGTACACACCTGAGTGTGATCCAGTGGGTTGTGGAGGCCAGGTTTGGGCCAGGCTGGAAGTTGGAAGACTGGGAGGAGGCCACACCTGTTGTCCCCACAGAATGATGTGTTTAATTAGTTAATGTTGAATGAAGTGAGCACATTTGTTCATGCCTCAGTTCCAGTGGCCACTGTTATGATAAAGACGGGCCTTCCCCTGGGTTTGGACAGCAAAGTGCTGCTCTCAAGTTCTGCTTATTCCACTTACAGAACAGGGTTCTTGAGATTTCCAGTGATCTTTATAGAGCTGGTCAGAGCTGGGAGCGAGCCACCGAACTACAAGGATATCCTCTCCCTGTAGTCTTGGCCTGGCCTCAATTTTCCTTATAATTCCTGAATTTGAGGGAGAAGGGACCAGATGTATTTCTGCTTGCAGTATCCTATTTGTCATTTCTTGCTTGGGTTATAGGGCTTACAGAACATTTAAGTGGGATGATCATTCTGGTTCTGACCTGCATACCTAATGTGCCTCTTCCATTGCCCTCCTAGGTAGTACGAAGAAGCATAGCAATTCCATCTCTGTGGGGGCATTTCTAGATGAAGATGATGGCATGAGCTTAGAAGAAATGAAAAATCTGCAGAATACAGAGCGAAGTCAAAGCCAGCTCACAATTGATGCTTTTGGGAACTTGGAGTATGGTGCCCTTCCCCTGGGGCAGAAGGCAGACTGTGGAGAAGGCCCAGGTGGATACCACCATCCCCATTGTAGTGAAAATGGGGTAAGCCACTCTCTGAGTCAGAGAACCCCAACCTGGGGAAGACAAGAGCGCCCCCCTGGGGAGGCAGACCTTTTGCCACCTGTGTCTTCTTTGACTCTTCAGTTTGATAAACTGAACTTGAAAAATCCTTCTGAGACATCAAATGGAAACAGGAACACTAAAGATAAGAAGGTCCTGACTTCAAGAAAAGATGCAGTAGAAGGTGCTTTGCCAGCAAGTCCCCTTGCTGCAGACAGACTGGGAAACAGCCACGTCAGGACTGACCGGGAGATGCCAGCAGGAGCAGTGGAAATGTCCCAGGGTCCCAGTAGCCCTGGAGCCCAGGCTGCACGTGTGCCTGGATCTACTAGGAACTCCACTAGGAAGCTCTTCCTTTTTGGGTGAGTGATAGCCCTTCCACATGTGGCATTGTTCCTTTTTTCCTACAACTTGACAGGTCCCCTCCCATCTTCTTGAATGTGTAGCTTCTAGTACTCTACAGTGTTTTCTTTCAGCTCTGCGGTAGCTGATCCAGGGAAGGGAATAGACCAGAATTCATTCTTCCTAATTTATTTTAGGAGTTAACACATAATAATGGGGTTGATGGTGCTACTTGTGGGGGACCCAGCTAGTCTCCTGGAGACACTCTGCCTGCCTTTGCTGTGGGACACTGAGGGCAGTAGCTCTCTGCTCTGGCCCTGTACACTGGCTGTTGTCCCTCCAGCTGGCACCTCTGAGATCCTAGTGTGTTTAGTGGTTACTCAGTGAAATTGTCCCACATATTCTGTTCATTGGGTTCTGGAGTTTAAAATGCAGTGGTGTTTTCCAAGTTTTTTTTTTTCCAATCAGGTATTTGCTTTTCCCTAATCCTCCCACCCTGTATTCTAGTGACGAGCCATCAAAACTAGATCGGGATGTCTTGGCAGCGCTTGAGAGTGCAGATGTTGACCCTGGCCTGTATCCAGCTGTGCACAGGTGGAAGAGTGCAGTCCTGGGCTACTCACCCTCAGACAGACAGAGGTGACATGGGGCCCTAAGAACAGCACTTGGGGTTTGTGTATACAAGTTAGTCACAGTCCCCTTGGTCAAGCTAATACTACATGGTCATTTGTGCACAGAAGCAGACCCTTCAGTAAGGTGGAAAATCAGACTAAGCTGAATCTGGACAGGCTGAAAAGGCTGGTGGCATACAGGGTTTGTAGTCAGATTGTGAGAGTTTCATACGGAAACGCACGCCACGAGCGATCTGGCTCAGGGTCTGAGGTTCAGAAGTACCTTGTGGTGGTCCCGGGGGGATTGCTGCCTACACCCTTACCTTGATTTCCTTGGATTTCTACCCTGCAGACATGGCCCACCAGGACTAATATATCTTTCTGGCTTTCTAGTTGGCCAAGCCCTGCACTGAAAGGAAAGTTGAAGTCTCAACTGCCAGATCTTGATTGCTGCAGTTTGGGGCGAAGCGGTCCTGCTGGGATCAGCCCTGGGAAACTGGGTCACATGAGGTCGTCCCCCAGCCGAGGCAGCCCCGGTCGATACAGTCCTGCACATGGGAGCCACCTCCGCAGAGTGGCACACATGGCACAACTTGCAACCCTATAGGGCTCACGTCCTTCTTCATTGTTAAGGAAAGAAGGGTAATGTTTATTGGTAAAGTTTAACAAAAGACTATATTCTGAATAATTTATTAGTTCTTTCTATGAAGCCTTAAGTATTTTAGAAAATACAGATGTCCTAACTCAGATTTAAACTTAATACTTCAGAAAAATAAAAGCAAACTCAAAAAATGCAATGCACAAATATTCTCCAAAATGTGGATGTAGTAATGATGCAGACATTTTAGGTAGTGATTCCTGGGTTTGAAATGGAGCAAAGGAGATTGGGCATGGTGGTACACCAACTATAATCCAGCATTCAGGAGGATGAGGAAGGAGGATTTTAAGTTTGAAGCCTCTAGCATGAGTTATATATACATAATGAGACACACACCTAATACTCCCTCCCCTCCCCATAATAAAATGAGAATGACTGAGAGGTAGTGTGTGACCTCCCAGGCCTGAGCAGGTGCTCTGGAGGGAGCTGGCAACCCTGCTGTGCGTAAGTGCACTTCCACTGTCCACAACATGAGGACAGGTTGTACACAGACTCCTGGAGAGCAGCTTCCCAGTACACAAATGCCAAGACCCAGGTGTTCGCTGCTTGATCCTAGTTGTTTTTAACAGTAAGGAACAGGGAGTAAATGGGCCTTGACTGTCTCAGCCTTATGCTCACAAGAGAAGTATCTTTCTCTTGGGAAAAAAGTCCGAGCCAGCTGGAGTCATACAAGTCTCAGAATCCTCACCAGCAATAACCAGAAGGTCTAATTCTCACCAGCACCTGAACTTGCTACTTAATTGCCAGCGTGATAATTAAATAATATAAATTGTTCCCTAGCTTTGCAATTTGTCTTGATCTTTTATAAAGAAAGTCCCAGCTGAAGTAAATTCTAAAAAGATCATTTTGTTACAGTAGAGAAACTGGAGGTTTGAGTCTTTCAGTCCTTGGTAACCTTTTAGTCATCATTAATTATCCCCAGGAAGGTCTGTACACCCTGTTACCATGCCTCAAGGCGGAGTCTCAGCCCTGCTGTTGGAAGCAGCTTCTCACACACGTCCAGTGTTTACTCCAAAACAAAAAACTACCACTGGTTGTGCCAACTTCAGTGCCTTTTTGTAAATCAGTTACTTTTCCTGAAGTTACTTTTTGAGAATATACAATGATTATATCGGCAAAGACATATTTTTTTTTGTAAACACTCTGAATTGAAATGTGTTTTTAAAAAGCTTATTTCTTTTATATAAGACATAGGTTTAGAATTCAAAAGTTTGTTACACAGGATATTTTCATTTGCATGAGATCAAGATGTAAAGCAAATAATACAGTTTGTTCTGAAAACAATGACATTCCAAAAAGCACTTTTGTTTTCAAAAGGTAATTGGAACAGACATTCTTTTTAGTGCTGCTGTTTTCTCTGAAGACTTAGCAAATTGTCTCAGTATATTATTGTCAATAGAGATTAAAGTACTGTTTTCCCCTAATTTTGCAGACTGCAGTTTTCTGAAGCTTTAGAAGTCACTGTTGACTATTCTATTTGCAAGACCGTGGGAATACCTATTCTGGTAAATGTTTTGTTACCTTATGGCTCTGTGTCTCTTAAAACACTACTGATGAGAGAGATTACATGCTTGGGAAGAAAGCCCTTCAAACTAACCTGAGTGAGTGATTTGCAGATTTCTCTTTTTGAGAAAGGACTGTCGCCCTGATTGGTCTAGAACTCCAACAATCTTCCTACCTCTGCCTCAAGTAGCTGGGACCACAGGTGTGACAATGTGCCTGGCTTATTCCTGGTGCGAAGGCCTTCTGTCATCAGTTGCAAACCAGAGGGCATGGGTAATCCCAGAGGGAGGAAGAACCTTCTCCATCCTATTGAGTCCAGGCCCCTCTGGGTGGGTAGCACACACCCACACTCAGGCACGGTGTATCTATAGGGGTGTCCTGGCAGCCAAGGCCTTGCCTGTCTGCAGTCCCACCCTGAACTTGGCCAGAGCCTACTTTTACCCATGGAGCTCATGAATGCAAAGCCCACTGGAAGAAGAGCCAGCCAAGAAATATTAACAAGGAACTTACGTAACAAAGCAGGTTGTAGTCACCAAGTATTCAGACAATGACTTCAGAGAGTATCTAGAAACTCAATTTCAGAATTGTATTGGGGGTAGGGGGAAGGAGTTGCTGAAGCAATAGAAAAGATGCTCAATTACTGGTCTATGGCTGCTTGCTCCAGACTCGTCAGTCTGTCCAGGTGATTCTGAGCTTTTTTGTCTTTGCACCATCTGTCATCAACATGACAGATTGGGGACAATGGATAGGGCAGTTGGCCCAGTGTCCCCCACCTGAGTCCTGTGTGAAGTCCCGGTTTCCATTTGCAGCCTCAGTGCCGTGCAGAGTGCCCCTGCACCTCCCTATAAACAGCCCAAGGAGAACGTCAAGGTTTGTTCCTAAAATGCTGCCTGCTTCTTAGGTCAGCTGTTGGGGCTGTGACATGCATGGGATGCCCTCAGTGCAGACTGGGCAACTCCCTGCCTCCTGAGGTCAGAGGTGAGAAGCCTTCAGCTTTGTGCTTACAAGCTGCCATAGCCTGTTCCTCCTGCCTTAATGATTTCGAGGCAGGTGACAGGCCCACCATGGGACAAAACACAAGATGTCCTCTGGCCGCTGGTGGCAAGTCCTCCAAGCAGAACACCTGGCGGTGCTGCCAGCCCTGGGGACAAAAGACAGGACTGCAGTGACACAACTTGTCAGCTGCATGGCATGCACTTGTTTTCTCTACAATAGTCACAACAAATTCTTCAAACAAAATAAAAAACACCACTGAAGCTTTATTACATGGTTATTTACAAAGAAAATGGAGCCACCCAAATATCCCAATTCTGCTGATAGAAAACACGCTTATTGAGAGCACTTCTATCATATAGAAATTGTTTTTCTTAACATTTGGGGCAAAGTACTCTAACCCACAAGATTAACAGAAGCCAGTGGCAAGCTCAGTCCTGGATACTTCTGTTTGAGATCCTCTTGTCCCAGTCTTCCCGAGTGCTAGGGTTACAGTGTGAGTCCCTATACTCCCACAGTCCAAGATACTTTATTGGCTCCAGAAAACACCCTACAGGACAGTTATTCACCTACAACTTCTCAAAGGAGCAGGCCGTAGCTTTTCCAAAGCTTTATTCCTTCCCTGAAGGTTCAGGTCTACCTGCACAGATATATACCAAGACCCCAGGTAAAGAAAACCAGAAATACTTAAATGACAAGAGTTTTCAGAAATGAAGAGTATAAGAAGCAAAATGAGGTGGAAACAAAAGGCCATCTTGTCTGACAGGCTTTCTATCAAACCCGGGATTACTGGGCAGCTGTGGTCAAGACCTTAGTGCAAATCTCAATGAAGCCAGCTCTCCCTAGAACAAGCCTGCCTTTGCCTGAGAATTTTTTGCCCCACACTCCACAGGGTTGTTCTGAAAGGGCACATAGGGTAGAGAAGCCACTGGCCAGAATGGTTTCCCTTTTTAGCGTGGGCTAAAAATAAGCACCCAAATACAGCATGAGACATTTACATACTTTCCTGCCAGCTTCTTCGTTGAAACACAAAATGACACTGTAGTGCTGCCTGGACAGGGAAAGAAGGCTCGAGTCAGGATGCCACTTGAAAAGGATCTCACAGGTAGCCTCAGGACCGGGTGATCTTCTCGGGGGGCATGAATCCCGTGTCCCCAAGGGCTCTGAGAGCAACTCGACCATTGGGTCGAATCACCAAGTGAGTGATGCTCCCATTGTTGAGGGACAGACGGAGCCAGCCTTCCGGAGGAAACTGTAGGGCTCTGGGAAGGAAGAGAAAAGGCAGTAGTGGGAGGAGCAGGCCTGCGTCACATACAATGCAATGTCTGCTTTTCCAGCGTAATAAGGAAGAGAAAAGGCAGTAGTGGGAGGAGCAGGCCTGCGTCACATACAATTCAATGTCTGCTTTTCCAGTGTAATAAGGAGAAAGCCGAACACAGGGCTAGATCAGTTTCTCATTAGATTCAAGAATTTTTCCTGGATGGAAATGTGACCTACATCCTGAGCATTTTCATGCTCTTACTTATTTTTCTTTCTCAGTCGTGAGGCCTGAACTCTGGGCCTGGGCGCTGTCCCTCAGCTCTTCAGCTCAAGGCTAGTGTTCTACCACTTGAGCCACAGGGCCACTTCCAGCTTTTTTCTTTTTGCTTATGTGGTACTGAGGAATCGAACCCAGGGACTCTGGCATGCAAGGCAAGCTCTTTACCACTGAGCCACCTTCCCAGCCCCATGGCTGCTAGTCTTATACAACCTAAAACATGAGCCTAAAAAATTCTGTGGTAGACTGAAAAAAAGGACCCCAAAAAAGCCCCCAACAGAGCACTCTGAACAGTAAACTGAGTCACAGACCCCCAAACCTACAAGGGAAACATCATACACTTGTCTGGAAGGAGAGAGACATCACCTCAAAATCTGAACAAACTCAGCAGAAGCTACCAATGGATCCTAAAAGCTGTCTGTCCAAGTGTGAGGGAAATGATTTTTGCACACTGCCTTGCACAGAGCTGTTGGGCACGTGGACCATCTCAACAAGCCTTGCCAGAAGACCTTTTGGCACCAGGAGCTCAAGAAAGCACACCAGAGACAACAAAAAGATGTGTGACAGAGCCCCACCAGCGTCCTGAGACTCGGGAGCTCCCCAGCTTGAGGAATCCAAGGGCCAGGAAGGGTACAAGCTGCTCCATGGAGCAGCATCAGGGCATTAGGTGGAGGGTTTTCATTTCTACATCAAGCACTGAATGACAGTGTTCACAACATTCATGTTCTGTCCCCAGTGACCTGTGGGCATGTGACTTCCACCTCCTGGGCAGGTCCATGGCAGTGCCTACCTGCACACAATGTAGCGAATGACATTGGCATGACATATGAAGATTTCATAGCTGTCCTCTTCTTGTTTGGCATCTGCCCGGTGGATATAGTTCCGGAAGGCAGCCTCAATCCGGGCTCCATCTTCATAATACTGCTGGGAACGGAGCAAAGGATGGTCAGTGTGGAACAGATGAGGCTGAGGACGGCAGGACAAGGGTCTCAACCTTAAGGCCTGTAGGGGAGCATTGTTACCACAGCATCTGGCTTCCAGTGAGACACAGGAGGGTCGGGCTCGATGGGAGCGCCTTCCCGCAGCAGATCTGTGCTGACTCTGCAGACACCTGAGGAGGACAGGGGCAGGCTCAGCGGGGGGTCTGAGAACCAATGTGCCCTTGCTAGGCAAGTTGTCTGCCACTGGCACCCAGCACTCACCTGGCAGGTGCTTGCTGATGATGTCTGTGGTCTCGACAGCACGTGTCATGGAGGAATGGACAATTTTATTAAACCTCAACCCCAAGCTTGCAAGTCGGAGTCCGGTAAGTTCAGCCTGTTCCCGGCCTGCAAGGAGAACAACTTGAGAATCTCACTCCCATGGGCCTTCCACTGCACACTGCACAGCAATGAGAGCAAAGGCCAGTGAAGGTCCTGCCTCAGGAGCCCTTGGCCGACCCAGGACCCAGGACCCAGGACAGAGAAGTCATCTGGAAACCTGCCAGCTGTGGAGCTGGGGCCACCTGCATTCTGTACATGTCCAAACACACCAACTAAATGAACCAAGGGGCAGACGCAGACACTGACTGCAAACACATGCTTTCTCTCTGATGTATTTTAGCACTGGATGAAAATGCCCCATGATGGGGCTGGGAAGGTGGCTCAGTGGTAGAGCGCTTGCCTTGCATGAATGAGGCCCTGGGTTCGATTCCTCAGCACCACATAATCAGAAGAAGAAAAAAAAGCCGGAAGGGGCACTGTGGCTCAAGTGGTAGAGTGTTAGCCTTGAGCTGAAGAGCTGAGGCACAGCGCCCAGGCCCAGAGTTCAGGCCCCACAACTGGACCCAAAAAAAAAGAAGAAAATGCCCCATGACATCATTTTCTGAGGTGGTGGCCATGTGTATTCTCTACTTCCTGTTTATGTACAGGAACAGAAGTTCTTCCAGGCAGCATAGTAGCTTGGTGAAGAACAGGCTTGGAAACTCTTCTGCCATCAAATATTTGAATATCTGCACAAAAAGGAAATGTCTCATTCAAATAGAGAAAACGTCACGAAATACAGGAAAAGCCAGCTAGTGTTTTGAGGCCTTATAACCTCAGTATGTGGATGAAAGCTTGGCCACAAAGCCATCCTAAAGTTCTCAACTCAAGAACAAAAGAAAAAGCCAAACAGGCACCAGTGGCTCACGCCTGTAATCCTAGCTACTCAGGAGGCTGAGATCTGAAGATCACGGCTCAAAGCCAGCCCAGGCAGCTAAGTCCATGAGACTCTTATCTCCAATAAACCACCAGAAAACCGAACTGGTGCTGTGGCTCAAGTGGTAGAGCACTAGCCTTGAGCTGAAGAGCGCCGGGACGGTACCCAGGCCCAGAGTTCAAGCCCCATGACCAACCCCCCCCCCCAAAAAAAGAAAAAGCCAGGTGCAAGTGGCCCACACCTGTAACCAAGCTACTCAGAAGGCATGGTTCAAAGCCAGCCTGGGCAAGGAAGTCTGTGAGACTCTTATCTCCAACTAACCACCAGAAAACCAGAAGTGGCACAGTGGCTCAAGTGGCAGAGCACTAGCCTTGAGCTGAAGAGCTTGAGGGACAGCACCCAGGCCCAGAGTTCAGGCACCACGACTGGCAGTTTAAAAAAAACAACAAAAAACAATAAAGCATTATACATTCCAAGGGTCAACAACTTCACAGTAATAGATGCTAAGACCAGTGAAGAAGAAAGCCCAAAGAACCCAGAAGCATGCTTACAATGACCAATGAGGAGGCTGGAGCCTGCCTCAAGGGAGAACCTGTCTCACACGGGTAAGGCCTGGGGTTGAATCCTTACTACCACCACCAGATGGAAGGAAGAAAAGCATGATCAGTGAAAGGGGACGTGCATAGAAACTGAAAGAATTCAGAGGATATAAACAACTGCAAAACCTCAGTGAAAATAAAAAAAAAAGAGTTGAAGTTAAACTAAAAAAACACAGCTAGGCACTGGTGGCTCACGCCTGTCATCCTAACTATTCAGGAGGCTGAGACCTGAGGATCATGGTTCAGAGCCAGCCCGGGCAGGAAAGTCCATGGGACTCTTATGTCTAATAAACCACTAGAAAACCAGAAGTGGGAGGCTGGGAAGGTGGCTCAGTGGTAGAGCGCTTGCCTTGCATGCTCGAGGCCCTGGGTTCGATTCCTCAGCACCACATAAGCAAAAAGGAAAAAAGCTGCAAGTGGCGCTGTGGCTCAAGTGGTAGAGTGCTAGCCTTGAGCTGAAGAGCTGAGGGACAGTGTCCAGGCCCAGAGTTCAGGCCCCACGACCGGACCAAAAAAACCAAAAAAAAAAAAACCGGAAGTGGTACTGTGGCTCAAGTGGTAGAGCACTCATCTTGAGCTGAAGAGTGCAGGGACAGTGCCTAGGCCCAGAGTTCAAGTCCCAAAACCGACAAAAAAAAAAAAAACACCTGAAACTCTGAAAATGATAACCTCACTCACTATTTACGTCAAATATAAAGCTCTGGCAAGTCTCTCCAGTAAAGCAGAAAAAGTTGAAGACGTTATCAGATCTTGGTAAGGTGATTATGTGAATATATCCCCACCCCCCCTTTGTGTTGGTCGTGTGGCTTGAACTCTGGGCCTGGACATTGTCTGTGAGCTCTTCAGCTCAAGGCCAGTTGAGCCACAGCTCAACTTCCAGTTTTCTGCTGGTTAGAGTTAAGAGTCTCACAGCCTTCCCTTCCCGGGCTGGCTTTCAACAGCAATCTTCAGATTTGAGTCTCCTGAACCACTGGCGCCTGGCAAAGGTGGATATATTAAGAACAGTTAAGGGCTGAGAATATGGCTTAGTGGTAGAGTGCTTGCATAGCATGCATAAAGCCCTGGGTTCAATTCCTCAGTACCATATAAACAGAAAAGGCCACAAGTGGAACTGTGGCTCTAGTGGTAGAGCGCTGGCCTTGAGCAAAAGCAGCTCAGGGACAGCGCCCAGGCACTGAGTCAAGCCCTAGGACTGGCAAAAAAAAAAAAGTTAAATGAAGAAATAGGCTGGGGGGCTGGGAAGGTGGCCCAGTGGTAGCGTGCTTGCCTTGCATGCCTGAGGCCCTGGGTTCGATTTCCTCAGCACCACATAAGCAAAAAGAAAAAAGCCGGAAGTGGCGCTGTGGCTCAAGTGGTAGAGCGCTAGCTTTGAGCTGAAGAGCTGAGGGACAGCGCCCAGACCCAGAGTTCAGGCCCCACGACCGGACCCAAAAAAAAAAAAAAAAGAAATAGGCTGGGAATATGGCTCAGTGGTAGAGTGCTTGCCTAGCATGCATGAAGCCCTGGGTTCGATTCCTCAGTACCACATAAACAGGAAAAAACAGAAGTGGTGCTGTGGCTCAAACAGTAGAGAGCAAAAGCAGCTCAGGCACAGTGCCCAAGACTGGCAAAAAATAAATTTCCTCAAGCTGGGTATTGGCGGCTCACAAATATAATCCTAACTACTAAGGAGGTTGAGATCTGAAAATCATGGTTCAAAGCCAGCCTGGACATGAAAGTCCATGAGATTCTTATCACCAATTAACCAACAGAAAAGCCAGAAGAGGAGCTGTGGCTCAAGTGGTACACTGCCAGCCTTGAGCAAAAGCAGCTCAGAAACAGTGCCTAGGCCCTCAGTTAAAGCCCCAGGACTGGCAAAAAGAAAAAGATAAAAAGAAATAAGGAAAATATTAAGAAGTACAAGTGTAACCTTCAAAACCTGTGAGACATTGTTAAAAGATCAACCTAAGAGTCATGGGCACAGAAGCATAAGTGCACACTAAAGGGACAGAAAGCATATCCAATAAATGAGAAAATTTCCCACATCTTGAGAAAGTAGCCATTAGGAACAGGAGGCCTTTAAGACACCTAACAGACCAGAAAAGAACCACTCCAAAACACATCCTAAATAGAACATTAACTGTTCAGGACAAAGAAAGAATGCAGGAAATTACAGAGAAATGGATGGGAGTGAAGCAAGCCAGATTCAAGCCAGAACAAAGGTGACATGTTTTCTCTCCTGTGTGCATGCTAGACCTAAGATAAGCACATATATACATTCACAGGGCAATGTATACATACATAGACAGACAGGCAAAGGGAGACAGAACAAGTTTACAAGATGAGGAGACAGGGGACAGAGATGTTAGGGGGTAAATGATACTGAAACCCATTGTAAAGGAGGACAGCAAACAAAACTCACTGAAAGGGGCTGGGAGGGGGGGGGAGTGAGTGGTCACTCTGGTTAAAACAGTATGTACGCATGTGTGAAATACCAGTGAAGCCTCTTTGAACGAGTTTACACACACACACACACACACACAGAACTAAAATAGATTCTGCTCAGTGTGTACATACTAGTAGAGGGGAAAGGAGAGGGTACAGGAGGGTGAGTATCAAAATATTTTATGTACCTTTGTAAAAAAAAAAATGAAGCTTGTTGAAACTGGTTTGAAATTTGACTCTGATCAAGTTACCTTGTAAGTATATATGGACATCTCAAAATGAAACCCCCAGCTGAGCATGGGGCTCATGTCTGTAACCCTAGCTACTCAGGAGGCTGAGATCTGAGGATCACAATTCAGAGCCAGCTCAGGCAGAAAAGTTGGTGAGACTTACCTCCAATAAACTACTCAGAAAACACCAGAAGTGACACTGTGACTCAAGTGATAGTGTTAGCCTTGAACACAAAGAAGTTCAAGGACAGTGCCCAGGCCAAGTTCAAGCCCAAGACCAGCAAACAGTAACAAAAGAAATCTCCTGGATAACTAGTTGATGCTAATAAAAAAAAAAATGTGTAGTACAAAAAAAGTTGTTGAAGCCGGGCGCCAGTGGCTCACGCCTGTAATCCTAGCGACTCAGGAGGCTGAGATCTGAGGATCACGGTTCAAAGCCAGCCCGGGCAGGAAAGTCCGTAAAACTCTTATCTCCAATAAACCACTAGAAAACCGGAAGTGGCACTGTGGCTCAAGCTGTAGAGCGCTCGCCTTGAGCTGAAGAGCTAAGGGACAGCGCCCAGGCCCAGAGTTCAAGCCCAACAACCAAAAAAAAAAAAAAAAGTTATTGAAATTCAACCAGGTGTGGTGTGCACCTACTGTCACAAAGCATATTTACTGACAATGACAACATCCAGGTATGGGCTGATGACCCCCAAACACAGGGAAGTGTTTTTATTTTGGGGTTGTTTTTTTTTTGGTGCTGGCACTGGGACTTGAACTTAGGGCCTAGGCCTGGGCACTGTCCCTTTGCTTATTTTCACTCAAAGCTAGTGCTCTACCTCTTGAGCTGTAGCTCCACTTCCAAGATTTTGACGGTTGATTAGGGATAAGAATCTCATGGAGGGGGCTGGGAAGGTGGCTCAGTGGTAGAGCGCTTGCCTTGCATGCTCGAGGCCCTGGGTTCGATTCCTCAGAACCACATAAGCAAAAAGAAAAAAGCCGGAAGTGGCGCTGTGGCTCAAGTGGTAGAGCGCTAGCCTTGAGCTGAAGAGCTGAGGGACAGCGCCCAGGCCCTGAGTTCAGGCCCCACGACAGGACCCAAAAAAAAAAAAAAAAGAATCTCATGGAGAATTTTCCTGCCCAGGCTGACTTCTAACTGAGATCCTCAAACCTCAGCTTCCTGAGTAGCTAGCATTACATGAGTGAGCCACCAGTGCCCTACATTTCCAGCTTTTGGTGGCTGATTGAAGATAAGGCTCTTCTGACTTTCCTACCTGAGTTTTTGTTGTTGTTGTGCCAGCACTGGGGCTTGAACTCAGGGCTTCTCACTCTGGCTCAGCTTTATCCGTTCATTAATGGTACTTTCCCACTTGAGCAACATCTCCACTTCTAGATTTTCTGCTGGTTAATTAGAGGTAAGAGTCTCACAGATTTGCCTCGGCTAACTTCCAACCTCCATCCCCAGATCTCAGCTTCCTGAGTAGCTACGATTATATGCTTGATCCATTGGTGCCTAGGCCAGCATGGGTTTGGGGGAGAGTCAGTGCCCTAAGCACACTTGGGGCCAAACAAGGAGTCAGCAGGATCCAAGGCCCAGCACATACCCAGGGGGGTCAGAGTCCGGTCCTTTTCCATGGAGCCATCCACATGATACTGGGAGTGCCTGATGAGGAAGATGTGCCTTGTGGCCTTGGCTTTGTAATGGTCTAGCCTGGACGCTAGTTCTTCTTCTCCAGATTCCACATTCCTCTTTCTCAGGTTGATTAGAGAAAGTGGTTCTCTCCTAATGGGAAAGATAAGACGGCATGCCTTTCAGTATCTGGGAGGACGGGGAGAAACCAGGACCAGTATTCTCAACCTGGAGAAGCCATCGCTAAGAGCACACCTGCCCTCTACCGCACACTGTACAGTGCCCTGGCACTGGTTGGGGCTCATGGAACTGAAGCTACTAAAGGTTAACTGTGTGAGTTAGGGAACAACGCAAATCAAACCTGTTAAAATTCATTCATACTGGTGGAAGAGGAAAGTGTAGCGAGCACTAAGGTGATGATAGCTGTTTAGGAGGGCCAATTGCACACCAGAGCCAAGGTTGACAGTGAGGGGACTGAGGCCAGACACCAGAGAACGTTTGGAAGCTACAGACAAAAAAAAAGAAAGCCGCCGGGCACTGGTGTCATCCTAGCTACTCAGGAGGCTGAGATCTGAGGATCGCGGTTCAAAGCCAGCCCGGGCAGGAAAGACCGTGAGACTCCTATCTCCAATAAACCACCAGAAAACTGGAAGTGGCGCTGTAGCTCAAGTGGTAGAGCGCTCGCCTTGAGCTGAAGA